TTTTTTTTTTTTTTTGAAAACTCCCAATCTGTTCCTTTATGTTAGGATCGGGTGTCAGATTCTCGCTCTTTACTTTCGCAGTTAAGGGACTTTCAGTATTCCTATGTGATTCTGGGTGTGATGGATCTGGAAAGAAAGGAGCCTAAATTTAACCCAGGGCATGCCGGTGAGGATCACTGTGGGTGACTTGCACTGGGCCCAGGAAGATGCAGTCTTCTTGAGAGCTTGTTTGGAGGTTCCAGCAGGGGAGTGCAGCAACTTCCCAACCCCATGGCCCAGAGCTGAGGTACTTGTCTTTGTAGATTTCCCAGAACAGATGAGAAGGTGAACTGACTGCAGAGCTGAGAACTCAGGCCCCAGTCTGCTTCCCAGCAGAGGAAGAAATCAGAGCCCAGCCATGCATTCAGTGGCAACTATTTGGGGAGCATCTTGTATGTGCCAGGCACTGCACCGGGCACCAGGGATGCAGAGGAACAAGACCAGACTCTACCCTCAGTTTAAGAGGTTAAAAAGAGGAGAAATTCTCACGGGTTTCCTCAAGGTTTCAACACCATAAAGGAGAGGCGCCATAAGAACTCACTACAGTAGCTTTTCCTCACGATGTTCCACTTTGCTTTTTCCTGTTTTACTCAGCCCAGGCTTGCTTGGCAAAGCCAGTTTCTCCCCTACTCTTCACTTTTACTTTCTCGAATAAACTTTGTCACTGTTTAAAAAAAAGAAGAGGAAGTCAGGTGTGGTGATACACACCTGTAATCCCAGCACTCGGGGAAGCTGAAGCAGGAAGATCACTATGAGTTCAAGACCAGCCTAGGCAACATAGTGAGTTCAAGGCCAGCCTGAACTACATAGCGAGACCCTGTCTCCAAAAACCAAACCAAACCAAAAAGGAGCAGGAGGAGGAGGAGGAGGAGGAGGAGGAGGAGGATGAAGGGCGGTGGGAGATAGGAGACAAGAAAATAGCCTGCTGAGTACTTGAAGGAAATGCAAGGAACTCTTCCATGTAACAGCAAACCAGGCAGGCTGAGGGGTCAGGGAAGGCTTCCCAGGAGACACGCTCGAGTCGGAAGGGTTGGCAGGAGCTCAGAGACCGCTAGGACATCAGCCCATCGGACAGAAGGGGAGCCTGACCCCGCTGCCTGTCTGTCCCTCCCAGCCAGGTCTCGCTCACCCAGGCTAGGCCGACAGCACCCTGCCGCTGTGCCCGCCCAGTGTGCGGGGGCGGGGCCACAGCCCAGGTGCGCGGAGCTTCGCGGAGACAGGAAGTGTGTCCCCAGCGGCGGCCCGTGCAGTGCTCCCGCGAGACGC